ATATCATATACCAAACAAACCCTAACTATCCAGCTACAATTTGGTGAATAAATGAATAAAGTAAACAAAACGGTATTTAAATAAATTGAAATCAAAGTGGTATAGCCATATTCTGGCCGCCCTGTACATATGATGTTTGTTATGTTTATATGTGAACCTTGGATTTGATAGCACTTACTTTTAGCACTTATAATACTTAACCCTGAGTTCTCTCATTACTGGAAAATAATGATATGTTCACAAATTTCTGTTAAATTCTTATACGAGTTAATGTATAATATATTCATCAATTTTAGGTTTAAGTTTATTCAATAATTAATTCGAATTCAATACAATTATTTTAATTATTAAAATATTGAATGGATTCCTTGTAAATATAAAAATGACCAATTACAAAAACTAATAATACAATGAATATTACTGTATACTATATTTAAATTTCTATACATATATTTGCAAATTTCAAAGATACTATACAGTGTATAGTGAGGTATGTTATTAGTTGATAAATATCACAAATAAGCAGTTTATTAATGATCGTAAATTGCATTAAGTTTAATAAGTATCGAATATTTCCTTGACGAGTGGCACAGAATTGATTAGAGATTTTAAGAGATCATTGTTCGTCGTGCGATAAAACTTAATGAGCTTTTGGTTAATGAGATTCACATCCAACAGAATTTTCAATAATCGCCAAAGTTTTGCTTTTGATAGCAATTTTGACCGATACTTCATTTCCATATAGCGTTGCAGTAAATGTATGTAAATATTCTGTTGGTGTCTACAATACAAATAAAATGTTACATGTTAAAAATTAAAACAATGCAAAAACTCACTTGATTACATGTTTGTTAATGAGATTTGGACGATTCGGATTAAACAAGACTATTGCTGTTAACTGAGAATAGATGTTACAATATTTAACATATTCATTCTGCATGTATTATAACTTATAATTGTAAGCAAATGTTTATAATTAATTACCAAATCAATTACTAATGTCTCGGAATCCCATTCAATACCCATATCAGTCAAGAATTTAGAGTGAGAAATACCATCAGGGGTAAATCTAGACAGTGACAACTGTGATTCACGGAAGTCGTCAAGCTTAAATATACGTGTTGTGTTTCCCTGTATAATATAATTGATAATTACACATATTATTACTATCAGCTATATTAGTTTATATTGGAAATAATAAATTAATATTATGAATAAATATAAATCGTACCGCATTTATATACCAAAAGTTGTCATCAAAATTAAAGTCCAAAATCATACGTAAAATATTGATCTCAATGGACGCGTATTTAATGAGCAACATTTGGTCACTTTGACATAAGGCTTGAAACCCAGTCAAACATTTAGACATTTGAACAATATTTCTGATGTCCATATCGTATCTGTGAACGGTAGCACTTTCTATTGTATTCAGTACCGTGTGGTCCACGTTCATCATCACCCGAATGTTCAACGCTTGGATGGCATCCAATAATTCACTCAATTTATTGCCCTCTAATTCATTGAACTGATTGCTATAATCGGTGATCGGCCTCACAATTGGTACGACTGTCCAGCACTCAGAGTCTGTCGTATTCACTGAATTGTCATTCAATTCACACGATTGGTTTGAAAAGTCACTTAAATCTTTGTCAATACTCTCATTAGAGCTAATTGTTTGCACAGAACCGGGACATATACTACTTTGTGGAGATAATGTGGGGACACAACTACCCTCTACTTCATTGGATTCACAATTTATATTTGAATTTTGTTTTGACTTTTTCTTTTGCCTTTGATTTTCGGCACAAAACAACTCCTTTAAAGAAATAGTTATTAATATTAAATAGAAATAAAATTTATTTCAAATTTCATACCGTTTTCATACCGACAGCGAAACACTTATCTAAACGACATTTCTTGCAATTAATCCTATTTTTGACACTCGTATCACAATTGCCGCCCAAATAGCACTTGAATTGTTCCTGGTTGTATAAAAATATTTCTTAATTTATTTACAAATAAATTAAATTTGTACTACATTCATTTAAAGTTTATAACGTACGGCTTTAATGATAGCATTGCGCCTAAAAAATGCTTTACACGATTCACATGTTATTACACCGAAATGTGTACCTATTATCACAATATAGTTATATTAATTAGTTTACCCAGATGAAATATATAATAATTATTATAAAATACCTCCGGCTTTATCGTCACATATTAGGCACATTTTAATATCATTTGTGTTTGACATTTTTCAACCAATTCACAATATTTATTAAACACTTGAATACACCAATACACATAACGTATACGCATAAAAGTTATTTTAAGTATCGCTAATGCAATCTATTAATAACTACTGCAATGCAAATTAAAAATAGATATTTATATACACACGAGTTCTTACATTTATTACGAATACTGTCATTTATTTTTGTATATTTAAATTTTAAGTAAATTGAAACAAGCTAAAACAAGCAGTTCACTTATTTATACACTCAAATAATAAATACACAACTGATAACAATGTTGACAAAATTCAATAAAACTGGTTTGTTAAATATCCAATCAAAACTTTATTCTAACTGCCACCATATTTAAAGTATGACCCTGAATGATAATCACTCTCTATCAATCAGATAAATTGTATATAAAGTTACAATCTACAGACTTATCATGGCATATTTACCGGTATTTATTATGCAAACAAAATATTTAAATATTTATTAAATACTAATGTATAAATTAAATAATTCAATGCACTGTAGTAGCTTATGTAATAAGGAAATTAATATATTATTTACAAACATTTCAAATGATACTTAATATTAATTACAAATTTCCTTATACAGTGGAGCCCTATTTAAATTCATTTTGTGTGAAGTAACTTTTATAATCTGGTTAAGTTTGTTTAAATTCTGTATATTTCTCATAAGTCTTATGAATTTTCCGTTTGTTACCATTTCTGAATGATATTTTATTTTTAAATAGTGTTGGTTGGAAATGATACCCTGTTTAATAAACACCATATATTAAAAGTAATAATAAAATAAGTTCAAAAAAGTTCAATAAGTTTAGGAAAATATAATAAAATTCAAACAAAATTATTAAAGAATAAAATGTAATCTATGCACAAACCTGTTACCTTATCACAACTAATCAAGCATACTTTTTCTTCAATTTAATTTCTCATCATTATTTTCATAATGTTTTTATAATTTATTTCCAACTATTAAATGAGATTTATGTTTTAAATCACATAATATCGCAAACTTTTAGTATCAAGTTATCACCGAATAATTACATGTGTTTAATGTAATCAAAACTTAACTGAATTGCATTGTATTTTCCATCATATAACTCATAATAGCCTTGGACACTTTAGTGATTATTATTTAATATTCGCTAGAGGCATTCATAAAAAGCGTACGCATGGGAATAAGATTAAGCAGGCACATTTGGTACAATCTGTTTTTAAAAGTGCAAGCACTCTTTGTAATTTAATATTTAATAATAATAATATAATTATTAACATTTTTATCAAACAAAATTCTTTACTAAACTGACAAATCATTGTATGAAAATAACTTTGATAGTTATACTGAATAATGTATACTGCTAAATACTTACTGATAGGGTTATCATCATTAATTAAACACCATTTGTTTTTGTCATTGTTTCACATTACTTATTAATATTAAATTAACATTATTAATTAATGCATTACGTTACTGGATAAATTTACTCTGTTTCTTGCCATTTTTTTTATTATACTTTACGTTATATGAAATGTTTCATTTTAAGCGAACACGTTTAAAATCTATTAAACTATATAAAACATTGTTATTACGGCTTATGACATATTAGCAGTTATAATAATAGTCATTTATATAATTAAAATTATAAATATTAAATAATCATTCTCGGTCGCAAATTTCCTGAAAAAGTGGGGCGCAATCTATTTTCATTCGCTTGGTAGTCATTGCAACAACCTTGTTAATTACGCTCAAATACTTTAAGTTTTCCATAAGTCGCTGAAATTTGCCTTTTGTTAACAATTCTGAACGATATTTCATTCTTATATAGCGTTGCAATAGGTACAGGTAGATATTTTGATGATGCCTAGTATTTAGAAATAATGACATTTAATAACATTTGTTACAAGTTATTAATTTGATAATCACCCACCTAACCATATGCTTATGTACTAAGTTTGGCCGATTGGGATTAAACAGAACAATAGCTGTTAACTAGAAAAATAAAATTTTATTAATAATTGACTATTTAATAAAATATAATAAATAAAGACTATTAACCAGGTCAACGATAGTAATATCTGAATCCCAGTCTAGTCCCATAGTTTCAAGAAAATCAATGTATATATTATTATCGGTGCCGATATAGTCTTTGGCTCGAAATGGATAGTTTTGATACAAATCGAAATGTAATTTGAACGTGGTGTCATTCTGTAATTTAATAGTAATAATTGCAAGTATAAATATGTACAATAATTAACCAATATACAAACTCACGATAATTATATTGACGTATTTGTTCTCGAAATCAATGCACATGAGTCGCCTCAACATCTCGATCTCCATCGCCGAGTGTTTAGTCAAAATCATGCGATCAGTTTCGCACAACGTGTTGAATGTGTCCAAACATTTGCACATTTTGATGATATTTGTGATTTGAAAGTCATTCTTGGAGATGAGCACTTTGTAGGCGTCTAAACTATTCTTGAGTATTATATGGTTAGTGTTGGTATAATCGTTGGGAATGACAGCAAACTTAGTCGCCTCCAGTAGTTCACTAAACCTCTTGCCCTCCAACTCATTGAACTGATTGCTATAATCGGTGATTGGCCTCACGATAGGTG